ACAACACATTAAAATGAATGAGACCACACCGACTACTCACAATTCTCAGCAACTGTGCCTCAGATGGTCCAGCTAAAATAGATTATAGGTCTATTTTAGTCAGACATAAGCTGCAATTGGACTGGAATGTCATGAGTCAGACAGGATGTAAGACAAGGTGGCAAAGTATTGTGATATAAACGTATTACATTTTCCATTTAGGAAAGTTCAACATAAAAATGGCAAACCTGTTGTGAAAGAAGTTAGTGCTATCTTGTGCTGTATTTCTAACTCTTTCTGCTATTGTGTGATCTCCGGATTTTCAGTATATACTGTTATGTGAGTCGCTACTTGATCTTGTGAGTCTAATGGCACATTGATGGACCCTCTAGACCAATTAAAAATCAGCGGGGTCCGAATAAAGAAAATCAAAAACTAGTAAAGGTCCAGAGACATTTTTAATTATAATCCGTTACTTTAAACAGCATTTGACATTGAAATAAAAAGATGTGTTTATGCACCCATGTTATACATTAGGGGTACATACATTATGCCCCTCCCTGGGCTGGCACCTTATCGTGGTGGAGGGGTTTGAGTGTCCCAATGACCTTAGGAGCTATGCTGTCTGGGGGCTTTTTGCCCCCTAGTAGGGTCACCCAAGGCAGACAGGTCCTAGGTGAGGGACCAGACAAAAAGCAGCCTAAAGACCTCTTATGATGAGTAATACAAATGGACCTACTGTTCCCTCACCCGGTTGCGGGTCACTGGGGCCCCCCTCTGGAGCCAGGCCTGGAGGCGGGGCACGCTGGTGAGCTCCAGGTGGCCAGGCTTTTACTCATGGAGCCCAGCCGGGCACAGCCCGAAGAGGTAACGTGGGTCCCCCTTCCAATGGGCTCACTACTTGTAGGAGGGGCCAAAGGGCTAAGTGCAATGTGTGATGAGTAGCAGTCGAGGGCGGGGACCTTGGCGTTCTGATCCTCGGCTGAAAAAGCTGGCTCTTGGGACATGGAATGTCACCTCTCTGATGGGGAAGGAGCCTGAGTTAGTGTGCAAGGTTGAGGGGTTCCGGCTAGAGATAGAGTCTGGGTCTAGAGTCTCTGGAACCAGTCTCCTTGAGAGGGGCTGGACATTCTTCTTGGGGTGACTGGTTCTGACTGTTATTTGTGCTTATGCGCCAAACAGCAGTTCAGATTACCCACTCTTTTTGGAGTCCTTGGGGGGGTACTCCATTGTTCTTCTAGGGGACTTCAACCCTCACTTCGGCACAGACAGTGAGACCTGGGGAGGCGTGGTTGGAAGGAATGGCCCACCTGACCTGAACTCGAGTTGTGTTCTGTTGTCGGACTTCTGTGCTCATCATGGATTGTCTATAACCAATTCCATGTTCAAGCATAAGGGTGTCCAAATGTGCTCTTGGCACCAGGACACCCTAGGCCGAGATTGACTTTGTTGTTGTTTCATCTGACCTGGGGCCGCATGTCTTGGACACTTGGGTGAAGAGAGGGGCAGAGCTCTCCACAGACCCCTACCTGGTGGTGAGTTGGCTCTGATGGTGGAGGAGGACGCCGGTCAGACCTGGTAAGCCCAAACGTATTGTGAGGGTTTGCTGGGAAACGTCTGGCAGAGTCCCCCGTGAGAAGGAACTTTTTACTTCCCCTGGATTGGCAGACTGGGGTGGTGGTCCCTCTATTTAAAAAAGGGTACCAGAGGGTGTGTTCCAACTACAGAGGAATCACACTCTTAAACCTCCCTGGTTTAAGCAGTAGGTTGAGCCAAACATACTCAAAATGTGCAGGGTCATCTTTGAGTACACCATTTCACTTTTCTTTCACCAGTTCACTGCGCTTCTTCCAGCAGTCCTAACTCTTTCTGATCTTTTTTTCTCATCTTCTTCTCCTTTTTTCCCATCGTCTGGCTTGCCACAGGTTTGCCTGCTGTGTCTAAAAGTAGCTAGCAGTAGCAACCCAGACTGACAGCAGCTCATTGGCTAATTTGTTTCACATGTAGCCTGGTCCCGGATGCTTTGGAGGGCTTTACCATGTTAACAGGGGAAGCAGCGCAAACTGAATTAAGTAACGGTAGTTGGACAACATTTGTTAATTTATAAATGTTTTAAATCAGGTTGGGTCCAGATTAGCCAGTAGGTGGATCCAGACCCTGGTCTGCTAATCCGTGACCTTTGCTCTAAATTAACCCTATATATTTTCAAATAAGTTATCATAACCTGAAATCAGGGAAACTCTGTGTTTTCCATTTCACAAAAAGAGATTACTCAGCCTCTCTAAAAAGCCTTGCCCTCAACGCTATTTCTGACATTAGGAATTGAAAAAGCTTCCTTTATAGGAAGTGACTATTTTGGAATGACTGGAATGACAATATCCATGGTGAGAAAGGTGAGCTTCAATGACTGTCTGAAACCATAGCTCACCACAGCCGTAAAGTGTGCATGCGCAGAAAAAGATAGCTAATGACATTAGCACATAGGACGGCCTTATATAAACAACTCACCAGAATGATTGACAATTAGGACCCTAAATTAGATGATCCGTCCGGAAATAAAAAATTGTCCTCTATACCTTTCAGTTACAGTATGCAGTTTACTGTATTTTTACTCAACGTCCAAGTAACACAGCAGACTCAGCAGATTGAAAAAGAAAAGATCTGGTTCTGACTAGGAATGTTATTCTGACCAGAAATAATCAGTTTTAAGTGATCTACAAATGAGACAACAGAGAAACCTATGCTTTAACTCTAGCAGCAATCTTCTCCTTTGCCATTTTCCTCTACTTTGCAGCTGTGGTGCTGTGGCTCTGTCTTCAAACAAATTCTACGTTTATTTTTGTTTCATTTCTGCATCAAAATCTGTAGTTTCAGTGGGGTGAAATTGGCACTTCCTGTTGCCTGTCGTCATGGTGACTCGTCAACCTACTCAGAGTTGATTAATCTAATTCACAGCAGCTGTAGTAAAACTAAAAACTCAAGGGTTTCCAACTTTAGGCTGGATCAATTCAGAGTTGAGGATTTAAGTCTGTTAAATCTGCTTTGTGAAGCACGCCCCTGTCACTTTTCTGAAGATGCTCTAACCGAAGATGGAGTGAACTTACCATGTCAGTCTAATAAGAGGCAGAGTATTACAGAGTTATTTTTGTGTTTTTATTGAATTTAAGAAAAAAACGATCTAAACGGGGAAAATAATATTGTTAAAAGGATTGTATATAACATTGACCAAAGTTATACAACAACTCTTTTTGAAGACCATTTGGTGTCTTTCTAATGAATGGAGAAACAACCCTGAATAAGCTTTCAACTGATGAGCGGGGCAGCTGACCACAACAGTTCATGTCGTTCCCTATGCCTGTGGCTGCCTCTCCAACAGGGTCTTGTGAATTTTAGCAGGGCTGCGATACTTGCTTTCTTTCTCCAAGAAACCTGGCCTAATCCCAGTCAGCACATTTCACTTTAGATTTCTTTTTGTGATATGCTTTCAACTGGGAGGCCGTTTCCACTTTAGGCAAGCTCCTGTTTCTGCTGCACCAGCTGTACTTGTCTTGGTGAATGCAGCACCCCCCCACCCCCACCCCCCTTACATTATGTGCTACCCACATGGTTCATTTTAAAGTTTTGCCACATAACTTTTTATGCATTAGCGAACACATCTATTCATTTTATCTTGCATGTGTGCAGCTCCCCATCAGTAATAAAAGCAAAAATTTTCAGCCAAAGCCTCAACACATCTGTGCCAGCTCAGAGGAAGGAGAGGAAATGCATCCTGGGAAGATAAGACACTTTAAAGGATAAGATCAACAAAACACAAAGTTGCTTTTTGTGTGTTTTGCTACTGCCACAGTAAGGGGGCATGAATGCTTTCATATCCTTTGACTCACAAGGCTGAGATCAAACATCATCCGCTCTAAAAGCAGAGGTGCTAAGGAGTGGTACAGGAAGCAAAGTGAAAGATTAAACCTTTTTTACAGTATTATGTTTTTCTTCCTAATGGACCTCTGAAATATGACATTATGCATTGTATTCACAGCTCTAAATATTTTGAAATCTGAATCCAACAGTTTATATATGCTTTGACTTGTGATGTTGGTCATTATAACATAACTTTGTTTTACTCCCATTGAAACATATAAGTGGCTAAAAGATATAATCTCCTCCCTGGCCCTGGGAGAGGCAGTTTTTTTTTTTCTTTTTTCTCTGTGTTCCCCTCAGTTCCTAGAAATACTAACAGATCTCCACAATCTGATTTGCAACTGAATTAAAGACTTCTTAAAACTCCAACTCTCAGGCAAACCTTGTTTGACTGTGGCTATACTGGAAAAGCTGTTGTCCACATGTACATGTGTACAAAAAATTATGCGTAGTAAAAAAGTGTGAAAAAAGAAGCCTAGTATGAGCCTTTCATGTGGCATTTAATAAATGTAGCAACAGCCAGTTAGAGCATTTTGTAACAGCTTCTATAACCTCCAACTTCTCAATATTATATCACATTACATTTAATAAAGATTTAATGAATTTCATTAGGTTTTATGGGACAGATCAACATACAATAGGACACTCATGTAAAGTGAAAGGAACATATACATTTCATATTTTTTTTACAAATACAAATCTGAAAAGTTTGGCATGCATTTGTATATACCCCCTTTTGCATTCCAGTAAATAAAAATCCAGTCCATATCACTGTTAACGTATGACTCATATTGATTTTTGGTATATGTGAATAAAATATGTCTATTTGTACATCAGTTTAATAGATTTTGTAAAAAAAAAATTTTTTATTAGAGTTTATTATGGGTATTTGTTCATGATCTTGATTCTTTCCTTATCTCTTACTTAAACTAAATCACTGGATTAAATAAAAAAAAAAATCAAATTCTGTTTTATTAATATGATAGAGTAATCTTTACCAGGAAAGTTAAATAATTTGTATGAGAAAAGTACATAGACTGGTTAATAAATTTGAATCATTTTACAAAGTGCTAAATTCACATATCTAAAACTAATTATGCCATTGCTGGATGTAGCATTGACGTTTTATTTATGAGTTCCTGGCCAGCCAGGTTAAAAAGAGGCTGAAAGATACAGCAAACAATATAAAACATGTTACAGTTTTCATACAAAAAAGAGAAGGCGAGATTTAGTCCTTAATAAAAAGAAAAACGTAAGTATCAAATATATAACTGCTTGCAACAATTGATATGTCTTTTATATCATTTAGTACTTTTTTACAGCCTCTTAAAAAAATGTAAACAGAAAATACACAACAATTACAACCCTGTTTCAATCATTATGTACAACAATATTATGTACAAAAATATACAATATGCATTTAAACCCAAGCTTCTACACAACAGCCTACCTCTTTAACCAGGTGTTCACTGTGTAACTATGGTTCATAATTCCAAATCTATCATCCTCATTAAATATAAAAACAAATAGATTAATTAAAAGTTATAATACACATATATTTATTAAAATACTGTGCCAGTCAAAAGTTTTTGTATACCCATCATTAGCATTGATTTCATTTTATTTTAGGGCTTCTTGTGGTGTATTATATATTCTTCTCAGATTAAGCTAAAATATGTGTATACAACCCTTAACCTATAGATAAATGTTCCATGGCAACATTCCACATGCCTCTTCTTCCTAGTAACAAATGTGTAGCATAAGTCTGGTTGGAGGTTTCATCAATTTTGCTAATAATTTTAATTGAAGTTGAAAAGCACAATGCACCTTAACAAGAAAGCAGACAGAAGTATAAAGTTACCGCTTTCATGTTTTGTGCACTAATCTCACCTTTAATGGTCTCCTATTTGACTAATCTGACCTTAAAGCTTAATGTAGAAGGCATTTAGCTTGTCCATGTGTGAAGCTAATATTTTTTTATTAGCTTGAAGGTGTCAATCTTGGAGTAGGTCTTTTTTCTTGCTTGGTTATTCTTTAGGGCATGTTGATGTTTAACTACTTGCCTCTCACTGCTTTGCTACACCTTAGTTACCTTTGTTCATCCCAGCTGTTACTCTGCCTATTTATACACTCTATTTAAACCTCTCTCAGTTACTCCCTGCCAGAATGTCTCATCATTGCCACTATGCCACTGCCTTGCTTCCTGTGTTCCTGAACAATTGAGAACATGACTCTGATCATGTTCTGGATTGTTTCTTCCTGTCACCAGTTTGATCTAAAAGCATTAAGTCAGCTCAAAGCCTACTTCCAGACAGTCAGCCATCATCCAGTCAACCTACTCTGCTTTCACTTTAAGTCATTGTCTGCATCTTCAGGTCTGCAATCATCCAATTCAGTCTGTGACCAGCAGGTCTTGTCTTCATCTACCTCCTTATGCCTGCCATCAATCTGTCCTGCCTAAAATAACTGATCCAGTGGTCAACTGTTTGTTCAAAGTTACAACCATTCTCCCTGCCAAGATTTCAGAACATTCATTGCAAACTGTGACAATAAACCTTTAAAACATGCACATGGGCTTGCTAAATCCTGAGTTCTGGGTAGTTGGTATCGGCCAATACTCACAGCACAAATCGTATCGTGAGAGAAAAAATGGTACCGGAACTGGTATAAACTTAACACTGGTATTTCAGGGATTCCCAGTCCATGATAAATTTGAGCTCGTGATTCTCAGGTTGTTACTATACACCCTCAAAATTGTCTTGTCTAACTGGTGTTTACAGTTGGGGTGAGTTTGAGACTTGGGAGACAACCAAGTGTTCCATCAGGAGCATGTTTCTGAATAGATTATAAATCTGATTCTGAAAGGATATAGGTAAGAGTTTATTGAATCCATGCTACAAAATCAGCCAAATTAAACCATCCAAAAAAAGTGTTAAAATATTCAGCCAGAAATATGGCACGAGCTTGTGGATGGCATGAGATGTGTATCTTGCTAAGGATGTTGTTACCAAATATTAATTGGGACGCTTTTTACATTATAGCCTGTATGAAAAATTCTGACAATGTGTGTTTTATATTCATGTTGTTCAAATGCTGATTTTTTTTTACATTGTGTACATACCAACATGGAACAATAATGTTTTAAATAAACCTCTGAAATCAAAAATTGTTAAATTCATGCCTATGTTGACCAGAATTGCATGGATTGTGTTTAACACCCTAGAACAGTCTTTTACTAAAGGAATACACATATCGACACAAATTGTCTGATATTATCTTATATTATAAACTGATATTGTAACCATATATAATTTCAACACAAGTTCAATAATTTTCCTCATTTAGCTGTTGTATCTCTTTATAGAAAATTACTTAAAGATGCCTGAAATGTCCTGTCCAAAAAGCGATGATCAGACTTTAACCTTCAGCTCTGAAATTACAGGTTGGGAGAGATGGAGATATCTGGCTACGTAATACTTCTTAAGTGTTAAAACGCATGATGTCATTTCATGGCTGCCAAAAAATGCATTGCAGGCTCATGTGTATTCTGTGGTTAACTCTAAATCTTCAGGCCAATGCCTTTAAAGTACTATAATTCTTGAATATCCTTTGCCACAGACTGACTGGATAGTAGTTCAATCATGATGTTTGAGTAAAAGAAAAATAATTGATTACTTCATGGCAAAATTATAGGCTTTAATGTCATGGTGGGTGGGCTTGTTAGGTTTAATGTTCAGTTCTTTGTCATGTAAGGGTCTTTTCTCAGATGACGGCAAAAACTCTGAAGGCTTTTCCTCCTGTGGGGTTCAGTTGGCTGAAAGAAGATTGATAAAAATGTGTTTAGGGAAGTAATTTGTAACAAGTTGTACAGCATAGACAGCTTGAAAAAAATCTAAAAGTAAATTTACATTCAGTAACTAAAACATGGGACTGTAATCGGGTCTTATTTATGGTCATTAAATTATTACAATATCTGCTCTAAGTCTGCTCTGTTAATAATCTGGCAGCAGGTTTAAAAGTGTTGTCTGTTCAAAAAACACATCTAAAGCTTTGACTTTCTTGTCAATGTCCTAAAGGTGCATTCACACCGAACGCAAGACCAGTGAACCATGTTGGCCTTTCTGGGTTCACTAGATTCCCAGAGACAGAACCAGTATAGTGGATACCACGACTTCCTGCTGAGGATATGTCTGGATGATAGTCACTTTCAGTGTTACTTTCATTTATCAGTGACCCAGTTCTGGTCCCTGCTTTCCCGCACTGGACGAACAACCTGCACAGAGGTAAGGTTAGACAGCATTCTGGCGTTAAGACAGGAGCAGCAGGAAAACAGTATTAAATCATAAGCAGAGAGGGGACTGGAATATGGTGGCTAGCCATGCCTCCCTCTGGAGCTAAGAAGCCATGGCGGTAGATTGGAAAAGGGCACAGTGGAAACAGATACAAAGCGAGGAGAAGCTAGGGCCTGCAGGGACTAGCTATAGAGGATAACTGTGGTGGGTCAAAGATGGCGGTTGTAGTTTGGATAAGTCCGCCAATCAGAGAGCATCGTTGAAGGCAGGGGAGAGGCCGCATGTGTCCGGGGAGGAGGACAGCTTTACATTGGAGAGGCATACATGGGAGATATAGCAGAGAGAGGATACAGGATAGCCCGAACTAGAGTAGCCTGCCAAGCAGACAGAGCTCCAGAGTGGTGGAGAAAGGAGACAGCTCCCCAGTGTCTGCGCTGGAGGTAAAATGACAAAACAGTCCATTTACAGCTAACATAAAATGGCTTTTTTTAAAGCCACCCACAAACCTCTTAAGTACTTTCCCCACTTCCCCCTTTGTCAACATTTTTGTCTCTTTCTTTAATTTTGATAAAAAAAAACATCTAGCCTCCACTGCCTCCTTCACTGTAGGTTAGGGGTGTCTGGTGTGCTATTGCTTAGTTGGAAAGAAAACCTCTAGCCACATGGCCCTTTCTAGAACCAGTTTGAAACCCCTGCTATAGCCACATCTACTCCCTGACTGGATTTTGCGATGCTACCTTTGCCTCATCCCAGAGCTGCACTCTACATAGAGATAACATGAAAATCCTTTGCTCCAGCTGCAAAATTCGCATTCGGTGTAAAGGTACCTTTAGACTGCTTATGGCTTTTCATTATGACACAATTTATTAAAGTTCACCATCAAAGCATAAAATAATCTACCTCTCTGAGGTGATACCATTCTGGTGACTCCCAGTGTAATGCCGCCGTTTGTCCACTGGCATAACATCAAGGTAGCCTCCTGACTCACTCTGGATAACTCCTGCGTGAATGGCTGCTCTGCAGATGCTGGATTTCTTTTAAAACATTTTATGAAATGAAAACTGGTCATTCATTCAACATTTCAGAATTTTAAGAGGCTAAAGTACAGCTTTGTAAAAGCAAAAAAAAAAAAAAAAAAAAAAAAAAAAAATATATATATATATATATATATATATATATATATATATATATATATATATATATATATATATATATATATATATATATATATATATAAAATTTAACTCTCAAAATCATCAGATGTACTTCTGGTAACAAGATCAAAACATTACTAAACAAGAGTTAATAATGGTAACACTTACATCTGAGTAGTACTTTGTTCCAATGACTCGGGCCCGACTGTCATCCAAACAGTTCCTTGGGCAATATAACCTGCAAAAATGTAAAGTGATGGTACATTTTCCTGTGTTTTTGTAATGCTATGAATGAATAAAAAATGTGATCAGGGTTAGAAAAAAATTTTTTTTACTCTGTTTTTTTTTTTTTTTGTATTTCCCGACTGTCTTGCTAAATCCCTACTAAAAATGTACCACTGATTGTGCACTGAATATTGCGTCACTTTTATGTCAAAATGTCTAAGAAATAATGACAGCTTCTGTAGGAGAGATTAACTCATCCTCTCCTGCAGACCTTTTAATGCTCTTTACTTTGAGTATTCCTCTAAGTTTTCCTGTTCAATAGAAGAAACCATAATCTCAGTGTTTATCTTTGAAACTGTGTCTCTTTTTATGAAAAAATGTAAATAAGTTCATGGAATTTATTTAATTCATATGGTCTGAACTTTGAGCGAATTCTAGTGTATTCAGATTACAATATTAGACCCTTAACAGGCATTAAAAGCCATTTCTTTTAAAATGGGAGCCCTCTACCTTTTTCCAGAACACCCTCAAAAGATTGCTCTCAGTATTAAATAGTAAAATATAAAATGTTCTTAATATTAAAAAAATACTCTGAGAAGAGCTTTACAGTATTTACTGTAATTCTATGGTAGTAGCAGTAGGTACTCATACAGAAAGGCATATTGTTACCTTGGACAGTGTCGAATGGGTTTCTTGAAAGGACAGAAAAAGGCCACTGTTGTATCACATCTTACTGCCTTTACTGGAAAACAAAGTAGATACAGCACACCCCAAAATGATCAGCAAACCTCAAAATGATCAGCACACATCAAAATGATCAGACAGGATGTCGTCATGCAGAAAAACAGTAAAAAATCTTGTTTTATAATTCTCACCGGGCACAGACTCCACTTTGAAAGAATTTGCACTTCTATTCTTCCTGTATAGATAATAAAATGTTATTGTCCTAGTGGATTGACTAGGGCAAAAAATGTTGCCCGAACATAATAAAGACTAGAACGCTTCATAAACGTCCACATAGGCAATCATTCAAAGTTCTCACCCAAGGGATTGGATTCCATACTTGTATGATTTGGTAAATAATTGTTTTCTGCCTAGTCGGGTCACATCCAGCCATCCTCCATCGTTATTTATGACCCCAGAGTGTAGCCCAGCTCCACATACACTGGATTGCTGAGAGACAAGAGAAAATGTGAGTTTAAATACAATTTAGTATAAAATACAGTAAGGATAGTGGTGGGGGTCTCAAAGTGAAAATTCAGGATTTTCGTAGTGTTTCTTGGAGTATGAGCAGCTGATATCTCAACAGCGTTAGGTAACTCTCAAGGCATCTTTGCTTTGCACAGTCTGTGACCAAATTACTGGGTCCCAGATGCTAAAGCTAACGAGACCACAGTGCAATTAATGCATCTTAACATCACTAAACTTATAAGTACAATATTAGTTTATGTAAGAACTTCTCTGACTTCACTTACTAAATGAGTCCAACCAGCCCCATCTCTTTAACGGGCTCAGTCTGGTGTAGTTTGCAGAGGTACAGTGTAAGCAGTTACATTGTGTGCATCAGAGCCGCACAGTGTAAGACAATACAGAGCAAACTGTGAGCTTTTAAACCCTATGGTTTCATTGCACAGGTTGAGCTGTAGCTGCGTACAATAATGGAAAATATCATACAGTGTATGCCTGTCTTATGACATTTACTCTGAATGGAAAAGCTTTTTCAGATCCTGTTTTTAGTACATTTCACACAAGAAAAAATGTCGGTACTGTGTCACCTGTTGCTTCCATTTTCAGTGTAAATAACCATTGCTGCATAAGTGCTATGACACTGACTACTGGAGAATAGTCAAAGTCAGCTTTAGTGCTAACTTTAACCCCGGGAAACTAATCTGGTTTTAGACTTAATGAAGACGCAAAGAAAGTTACCTACAGCATGTTAGGTCAATTGGTTACATCCTTTAAGACAGCCTTACTTCAAAAATCTTGAACTATATCCTTTAGTAAGTATTTACCATATCATAGTAGGCAGTCCCAACTACTTTTCCAGGCCGCTCAAGACAACCAGGGAGGCATTCATATCTATGGACAGAGACCATACTTGGGTCAACCCACCTCGGTACAGATGATATGCAAGCACTATATACAAACATGGTAAAATGTTTAGATCTGTGTACTAAAACATGTTCCAGGGAATACTCTTTAAGTTGACATTTACCTGTTACAGGTTGTTCCTTTGCATTGATCTCTCAGCTTGGTCTCACATTCCACCTGTTGAGCTTGTGTTACAACAAACAATTTCTTTGAAGTAAAAATAATTTGAATATATATACAAATGTTTCGGTAAAGAATTAAAGAAGAACATGCTTACACATCTGCTCTGTACTGACAACTTGGTTTCTCTCAGTTTGCTCAATAGGTGATGGGTTCGGTGTCTGGGCCCTTGGTTGGGACTCTCTGTCCCTTACTGGTTCTGGTTCAATGTAGTTGTTCTCCTCATTTTCAGGAGCTGGCTGCCTATCAACACCATCCTCTAGAAAAAAAAATATATAATTGCATTTTTCAAATGTTAAGCCACATCTTAAAATATTTTTCATATCTATTGAAGTTTTATTGAAAAATCATATGAAGGAAATAAAAAGACTATGATTTTAAACCTGTATATATAAAATTATTTGAAGATCACAACTGCTGCAAACACTGTATCAGAAAGTAAAATTGCCTTTAGGGTCAGAATGTAAGTTTTCTCTTAAGAGCTGATCTACAAAACAAGAGTACTACCTTTGTAACATAAGTTGTTTCTGCAGCCACCGCCGTAGCTGGCTGGACATGCAGAACAAGGTGTGCCGTATTTGTATGGAGCATGACCCCACCAGTTCCCCCTGAGAAAACAACATTGTAATACTTTGTCTTGACTATGAACAGAAACAATAATTTAAACTATTTTTGGTAATATCACTTACGGTGGAGAGTAGTTGCAGACCAGATAAACTGCTTTGGCCCAGATCATTCCCCAGACATTCATGTTGTAACATACATTGATGGCACAACCGATGCGGTTGCTGGTAGCCCACACCAACTGAAAAAGAAGATGCTTGAACATTGCAAACTAATTGTGGACAGCTAAACACAAACACTTCGTAGTCACATTTGCAATTGAAATCAGTTTTACACAACTCTCATTCATCCAATCATCTTGTAAAAGAGGTTACTAATACACACATTGACAGACCTATTGGACTTGTAGCGGTTGAAGTTAAAATCAAACTTAGCCTTAAAATTTCTAGACTATTCCTACCAAGCATACAGAGGCAGCCACCTAATTTGTCTAATATTACTTAAAGGTACAGCAGCGAATTTTAATAATTGAACTTTAATGATCTCACATTGGAGAAATGTACCTCTCTATTTAACGCAACCCCTCTGGGAGAAGTGGGATACTATTGTGCAGTGCCTGGGGAGCACCGTTTTATCAAGGGTAAAAATGTAAAGATGTTGCATTATTAAAGAATAATGAACATTGTGTCTCTGTCTATTTTGTTTAATAACTTTAATTTCTCATATAATAAAGCCTTTAAAAAAAATTTTTTAATGGGTTTGGACACATTTGATCCTAATCAAATTAAATAACTGCACATTCACTAAAACTACAAACAAATACTTGTTAAGATAAGACATGGTAGTCCTTACCTGAGTGTAGTGAGTGCAAACAGGGCCAGAACATCTGAATGGACAGTGTGGATTACACTCCTGGGAGTATGGATAACTGTAATACCTCACCTCATCATACCAGGCCTGGACATGATAGGTTGGGGGTCTGTCTCTAAAATTATATAATAAAGGCATTTCTAAATATGAGCCATGACACATGCTGCGGTGAATATGTTCAATAGAAACAGATACATGGAAAAAATCAAGGTACATTTTGTAATCATAACACCTTAATTTCAAGTCTGTCAGGTGTTCTCTATAACCTGGCATAAGCCAGATTGATATGCGTAGTTCAATTTGACTTCTACACAGTATCCATCTGGAAAGGGTGTTTTGATATTGTTAACAAAACATGCAGTGCAATTCTTTGAGCTAATTGGGTAAATTACCACGTGGCGCATGTCTCCCATGTCGAGCTTTAAGCAGCAGTAGCAGCTATGACCTATCACATTCTCAGTTTGTTTTGTAACTAACTCAGTTAACTGATAAATAAAACTCTTACCAAATCTGGTTGGTAAAAAAAACACTAACAAAGATCTTCAAACTAGAAAATTCAAGTTTGCAACGCCACGTGAATTTCACAGAATTAAGCACTTAGGACGAGACACTTGTGAGGTGCTGTCACTACCTCTATGGAACTATGAGCTAGCAGTTTACCCTCCTCCAGTTAGGCACCCAGCGAAATTTGTACATGAGAAATTTTGAGGTTGTAGACTTAGACATGCACTAGTCTTGGAAGCTACACGAAAAAGTCGAAAAATTTTCAACCAATGTTGCCGTAGCATTGGCAATTAAATCAATCAATGAGAGCTGCATTGACTAACTGCTGCTGCCATTTTCTGCTCTCCACGTATATAGCCTAGTAGATCTTCTTTGAAGGGCTTAATCTTGCCCCTTTTTCAGGCAACTCATCTGATGAGTCTTGGTTTGGTAGATGCCAGGAGAACAGTTCTTGCCTGACTGAACTTACTAAAACTAAGGATTGGGCAATTACGGTGTTAGATTGTGGGGTTCAGTCCCTTAAATGATTTAAAAGGAACATTTCAGGTTTAAACTTGCCAAGACAACTCAGGGTTGGATGAGTTTAGTCTGGATGAATTTGATCCATCTTCACAAAATATTGACCTTAACCCAATACAACACCTTTACGCAGCCAGTTTATATGCTAAGTCTATGGTGTTTGTGTATCAATGGGCAGTGCAAGGTCCAGTGGGTACCTTTTGTGTCCAAACGGTCAAATGCAAGAACTTTTGCTTCTCTATGCATCACATTAAACAATAAGGGAAACTGAGTTGGGAGCTGGCAAGGAGGCAAGACACTGCATCCAAGCCATGATCTCTGCTTCTGCAGAGCTGTCTGCATAATGCCTTCAAAAATTGATAGTAATATATACATTTAAAGCTGTTCCATTTCACAAGTTATAACTTACAAAATAGGAGTAGCTGAAAAAGTTTATAAATACCTATATAAAATATAAAAACCTAGCTCCCATGCCGCTATGTGGAATAAAGACTATTTAAAGGAACAGTAGGATCATAATTCTGGTGAACTGACTGCGTGAATTATGCTTTATGTTTAGTTTCAAGCCTAAAAGTGTAGTTTTAACTCTCATCAGAACAAATAAGACAAAGCCACTCTCTTTATTATATGCAAAATAGAAGCAAAGCACATCAGAAGTGTTTGCACAAACATTAAACTAAGATAAAGGGCATCAGAATTGCCTCCAAAGAATCCCAACCACTGCACACCTGTTTGAGGCTCAAAATGAATTCACTCATGTACATGCCAATGGAATTAATGTATATTCTTGCTAATCGTGACCTCACCACCTAAAAAACTGTTGATGTATTAGTCCATACACACCTTCCCCAGTGAGCTCCCAGATTTTGGCCTATTTGTGTCAACATGTGGCTCGGCCCATGCTCCCATAGGCAGGTATGCGCCCAGTACTCTGCGCTCCTCTCTAACTCATAATCCCATACCTGAAGAAAAAAAAACACACAAGAACACAAAGATGAGAGGATTTCTAAAGGGGAAAACATATTTTTACAAGGAAAGAAGAAGTAGGATAATGGATTAAATGTTTATTGTCCTTAACGCTAGTAATATTAATTTTCTCCTGAGAGGTTTTTCTCATGGTCACCCAAAGGACTTTTGTATTCAGAAATGATCAAGGAACCTAAAACTCCCTGTTAATTTACGTGGGTAACTGGCCACTTAACTTACTTGTTGCTTTAAGTGCTATTCATAAGAGCATGTTTGAAAATGTCATCATTCGATTCAAGGACACTGAACCACTATAAGATCCATTGAGAACCAATTTGACCCTAACCTTACATACTGTACAATAATCTGCTATTTTATAAGACTTTTACCCATTTCTTTTTTCTTTTTTTTGCAACATAAGACTATGAGTTAGGCCTTCCCCTTTAAACACACTTCTTTGCCTTCCTGCACACAGAAACACATACATGTGAGACCACCACTTAAGCTTGCAGCTGTGTGCTACTATTCGCTGTGGTTGTTTCATAGCTTGTTTCCAGTAAGTTCTGATCTTAGAAAACAAGCAACACAGAGAGTCTCTGTTTTTCCTACTTGATGCCATCTTAAATGTAAGAACCTAACAAAACTGAGCTGAATTAAGGCCAAAGTACTCTGGATAGAGTTCACCCACATTTTGTTCTGAGCCAAGTAAAAAACAGAAACTGTTCATAGGGGGCTGGGCAATTTAGATGCCACGGCAAAATTAATGTACTGTTGATTCTACTGGGAAGGTTAAAGAATAGATGCAGTGTGTGGTGGTGTTAGCATACTATTTATTTGCATTATGGCTATCTCATGTCTATACTAATAGGATAATGCTTCAGTTTGGACCACATAATACTTTCCATATGTTCTGCTTAAAGCCAACACACTGGTGCCCAAGGAATGTGATGAGAAACTTGATACCTTCACTTTTTGTTTCTGTTAAGCAACAGTACCTTGGAATAGGCTAGATTAAAAATGACACTGATCGAAACCAAATAAAGAATATAGCACTAATCAATTTCCTCACAGTATTTTAGTTTTCCTTCTACAGTAGATGCCTTTTTAATTTTCCTCATCTACCTTGAAACCTATCGCAACAAAAATATATTAGCTAATTCCAACCTTGAAAATATATTCGTCTTCTTTTTAACAAATTACTTTGCAACTTTGGATTATCTACTACATGATTAAGGATTTCCAGTCTATTCTTGTCTGTTGTTTAACAGAGCTTCAACTGTTACTATCTGCATATCCTCCTGATATGTTTGGGGTTGTTCCCTATTTTCCTGCATTAAATCTCTTTCTCCAACATTCACTTCCAATGTAACCACTGTCTCTTTTAAGAACATGTACAAATTTCTCAACCATGTCTCTCTAGTATATCTCTAAAACATCCATTCTTAGCAATTCCTCTAATCTGTTTGTTTCTGATCTTTTGTTTGCAAGCAATCCATCCTTCTCACTCACAACAAAAATGTTATCTTTTACTCTGCCACTTCTAGCTTATAAAAAGGGCCATTGTGAGTTTATGGTCCCAATGATTAATCTACCAGCTAGAGATTGCCCATAGCTGTTTTGTAATCAATAAGCTGTGATGTAATATAAAGTGATTGAGGCTCACAGCTGAAACAAAAGTTAGGTGCTATTTAACACCGATTAGGTACTATGTTAGTACCTAATGTGCACAGGGACAGCAACTAGTCTTTCTTAGTTAATTTTAGGCAGTGACATGTCGCAGATTTTTTTTTCAGCTTTGCTGTAGCGTCATGAAACCAGCAGCATCCAGATGAGGAGAAGCAGCTTTACATTGAAGGAAAGTATATTTCTACCAGGCTGGAAAAAGCAACAAAATGTTTTTAATGAATAAATACTCCGTAGTGCAAAAGGCAATATTTCATTCTATATATGCCTAGTTGACTTTGAAAGGCTGTGACTTTGAAAAGCATGAAAGGTTATCCTTTAATTTGATCCATGTTTCCTAGTTTAATTGGTTGCAGTTTCTAGATTAATGTTAGTTCTCAGGTTTTTCTGTTGTTTTCCTCTGTTGCCCTCTTGTCTGTGTTACTTTCCCCTTGGCTCCCTCGTTTTCTCTTCGCACCTGCTCCCTGTCAGCTCGTTAGCCCTGCCTGGTTTAGTCAGCTACATATACTCTCCCTCTGCAGTCTGATTTTCCAGTTGTGCCAGAATGTTTTAGATCGGGGCAAGTTTCAGCCTCATCTTGCGTACTGCGTACAGTATACAGGTGGTAATAATGGTGCGATCCGCCTCTCACCACCATCTCATGATAAGGAATCGTAAGGTCGAGAGAAAACCAAGCATGTTTGAAATTCTGTCAGCCGTCACAAGGTGTTCGTGGACAAATCCTGCTGTTGAAGCTGAGCTACGAGTTTCTACAAGCCGATTTACCAGAACGTTGAGCACTGCGCCAGTGCAAACAAGGGAGTTCTTCTACTACTTCTTTCAAATTGATGAGTCTGACCAGCGCCATCTCTTGGCACTGAGTTGGACGTGTGGGTTTTGGACCTGCAGTGTGAGCTGGTAAATGGTATAAGAGCATAAGACTGTACAGTGTAACACACATCCTGAGCTGTGAACTTTTAAACCCTACAGTTTTATCGTACACTTTGAGTTGTAGCTGAGTACGATTGCAAATATCGTACAGTGTATCCCCGGCTTAAAGCAGATACCCATCACTACCCTGTGTTTCTAACTTAAGTAAACTTTTAAAACATTAATCTATGATAAAGGGGAAACTGTAGACCCTCTTTGCTGTTATTCCACATGGGTTTTATGTGCTTTCAGGGCATGCATTGCAGATCATGGAATCAATGGGGGTGGGACTTATAACTGTAAATATGGGTCTGAACCTTGATTGGACCATTCTAACACATGCACTACAATCTTTTCAATTGTAGTTGTAGGTATTTGTTTGGTATTGCTGTCTTGACAGAAGGAGAACCTCCACCAACCAACAGGTTTTGCACCACCCATGTTAAAAATCTAAGCGCTATTCCTATCCTTGTAAGTACAAAGCATCCCCACAGCATGATGCTGTCACTACTGGGAATTGATGGATTCTTTCAGAAAGCAGCGCTATTCTTTTTTAATTACTCTACCTAATTTTTGATATATGTTAAAAAGTTCTTCCTTGAGTGCTGAAGCTCTTATGTATAATGTAAATTCCACATCTGAACTAATCTATGCAATCAATGCAACCGTGATCCAGATGTTGCAGTAATAACATCACTGAATCTCAAATACTATTACCAAAATATAGGTGGTTCCATAGGTTGCAAATCCCTGTTTTAGTTAGATAAACATATCTGAGGTTTATTTTGTACGTATATATACATTTACTTACATAATGCTATTTACATCCTAGGTGCCTTCTGAACTCAGATGGTTGCACTGAACCTTGTTTATAGGCATCACAGTAATCCATGTTCTTTCTGCCATATCACATAAATCCCCAATGAAATACAGTGACAATTGTGGGTATATGAGAAAAAAAATTAAAAACAATTTATAATTTAGCAAAGCCCTGTGTATACTACTACTTTACATTAAGTACAGGTGCTGGTCATAAAATTAGAATATCATGAAAAAGTAGATTGATTTCAGTAATTCCATTTAAAAGGTGAAACTTGTATATTATATTCATACATTACATACAAACTCATATATTTCAGATGTTTATTTTGTTTAATTTTGATGATTACAAATGACAACAAATGAAAATCTCAAATTCATCATATCAGAAAATTAGAATATTGTGAAAAGGTTCAAAATTGATGGCCCCTGGTGCCACACTCTAATCAGCTAATTAACTCAAACCACCTGCAAAAGCCTTTAAATGGTCTTTCAGTCTAGTTCTATAGGCTACACAATCATGGGGAAGACTGCTGACTTGACAGTTGTCCAAAAGACGACCATCGACACCTTGCACAAGGAGGGCAAGACACAAAAGGTCATCGCTAAAGAGGCTGGCTGTTCACAGAGCTCAGTGTCCAAGCACATTAATAGAGAGGCGAAGGGAAGGAAAAGATGTGGTCGAAAAAAGTGTACAAGCAAGAGAGATAACCGCACCCTGGAGAGGATTGTGAAACAAAACCCATTCAAAAATGTGGGGGAGATTCACAAAGAGTGGACTGCAGCTGGAGTGAGTGCTTCAAGAACCACCACACACAGACGTATGAAAGACATGGGTTTCTGCTGTCGCATTCCTTGTGTCAAGCCACTCTTGAACCACAGACAGCGTCAGAAGCGTCTTGCCTGGGCTAAAGAGAAACAGGACTGGACTGCTGGTGAGTGGTCCAAAGTCATGTTCTCTGATGAAAGTAAATTTTGCATTTCCTTTGGAAATCAAGGTCCCAGAGTCTGGAGGAAAAGAAGAGAGGCACTTCATCCACGTTGCTTGATGTCCAGTGTAAAGTTTCCACAGTCAGTGATGGTTTGGGGTGCCATGTCATCTGCTGGTGTTGGTCCATTGTGTTTTCTGAGGTTCAGGGTCAACGCAGCCACATACCAGGAGGTTTTAGAGCACTTCATGCTTCCTGCAGCTGACCAACTTTTTGGAGATGCAGATTTCATTTTCCAACAGGACTTGGCACCTGCACACAGTGCCAAAGCTACCAGTACCTGGTTGAAGGACCATGGTATCCCTGTTCTTAATTGGCCAGCAAACTCTCCTGACCTTAACCCCATAGAAAATCTATGGGGTATTGTGAAGAAGAAGATGCAATACACCAGACCCAACAATTCAGAAGAGCTAAAAGCCACTATTAGAGCAACCTGGGCTATCATAACACCTGAGCAGTGCCACAGACTGATCGACTCCATGCCACGCCGCATTGCTGCAGTAATACAGGCCAAAGGAGGCCCAACTAAATACTGAGTGCTGTACATGCTCATACTTTTCATGTTCATGCTTTTCAGTTGGCCAACATTTCTATAAATCCTTTGTTTTTATTGGTCTTCAGTAATATTCTAATTTTCTGATATGATGAATTTGAGATTTTCATTTGTTGTCATTTGTAATCATCAAAATTAAACAAAATAAACATCTGAAATATATGAGTTTGTATGTAATGTATGAATATAATATACAAGTTTCACTTTTTAAATGGAATTACTGAAATCAATCTACTTTTTCATGATATTCTAATTTTATGACCAGCACCTGTAGACATTGCTGGCTTTCTAGCAGCCTTATTAAACCTTGTTCATTTTAAGACAAATGAATGTCATCTTACCCTAACCATTGCAGCTTACAAAATAATAGACTTAAGAATGAAGCTGTAACTGTGACAGATCTTCAATTTCTGATGACATCTGGTAAGTAATTGCAAAAAAGCACATCTTTGTTTGTCCTGCGACTCAATCATCCAGTTTATGAAGGAATGGACAGCTCAAATACTTTAGGTGAAAAAATAACCAATTCCTATTTTGATTCCACAGAAATCTGCTTTCCAAAATACATAACTGAGTCAATCCTTCAGGGAGGCCACCTGATACAAGTCTCAATTTGAAAGATAGGATTAAAAACTAGATAAATATCATAACTCATGGTTTACTTACATATTTATCTTATCATTGGTCATATGTTAAAATGTTGTGATCCACATTTTTTTTTAAATATAATTTTAAAGAAAACCTGCTGAGTACAACTGTCATGTTTCAGATCATTGCATATCAAACACACTTACTAAGCAGCTTCTGCGTAAAAGAGGCAATTAGGCAAACCCAGCAATCTGAAAACCATTTTCTTGGCTCTCATCTGGCCTCTGTCTTACCACATTGTTATCACCATTAACAGCAGCCCTCGCTGAAAAACAATGGATTAGTCTACAGACCTACATCGGCACCTTAGGCTTCAAACATTGAGGCTTAATTTAAATGAAATAAGTTCACCAACGTTGCACCCATAATACAGCACAATGCTGGCCTTGGTTTGAGTAAGCTGTTATGTGTAGGGAGAGAGGGGCCAAGGGCTTTAGAGTTAAAGTGAAAAAAAAAGGTAAAGAAAAGTTTGCAGGACAGTGAGTGAGAAAGAGTAGTGAACAAGCCAGCGTTAAAAAAGAGTCAACATTGAATGATGGAGTGAGGGTACTCAGGGCAGGAAGCGGAGGCCGATGGGCAGGGTGGTTGAGGTAGAGGACAGGACAACACTGCGGGGGTTGAAAGCTGGACTGGGGCCAGGGTCAGTGAGGGCGTCCAAGCAAGAGGCATAAGTTACGGCAAGCCAGAGAGTGGTTTAGGCTTCTAGAGCTCATTTTTAGCATCCCCTTCTTCTATAGGCTGAGGAAAGTACTGTAGTCTGGGTGAAATAACTCTGTCCGTCTGTCTGTCTGTCTGTCTGTCTGTCTGTCTGTCTGTCTGTCTGTCTGTCTGTCTGTCTAAGACTTCTAATCAAGTGATTCATTAAGTCCTACTAAACAATGTACAGTTATTGTCTGTGCTAAACTAATACATAGACCTGTTATGATATAACAATTGCAGGCACTTTATCACCTGCTGCCATATTTTTGGTTACGTACATCAGCAGGATAAATTAAAGTGTGGGAAATCATATCAGGTTCCAGGAAAGGCTGCAGTACAGTGATGCACATTGAACTTAATTCAGTCTCCCTCTTCCCTTTTCTCAGAAGAAGCAAAAGATGCTTCTGAGGACATACTAGGAAACTAAGAAACAAACTCCCCTTTGCTTGAATATATGTAAAAGCATTTCTAAAACATTTGTTAGGAAGCAGCAGATAGAACATGCATGTTTAAATACCCTGTGCCTTCTTTGCCAGAAAGACAGCTGTTTGCTTTAAGCTTACCATGTACTCCATGTTGGAGGCAGGAGGGTAGACCTGGCCTCGCAGCTTGTTGTGCAAGTCGAGGATCAGGTGCTTGTCTTCCTCACTGATGGCTCTCTTCCCCCTCGACCTTGCCCTCCACCACTCGCTGTCCTTTTCCTTAAACCTATCCAGGATTGAGTCTAGCTGGGTGGAGTTTGTGAGGACCATGGCCACAATGCTCTGGGTCAGGCAGATCAAGCCTGCTGCTCTAACCCAGTAAGACAAGAAAAAAGAACTCCTCATGGTGAAGGGAGTATATGGCAGTACATGGGATATTTGTTTGACTGTAGAAAAAAAAAAGTGCATGTATAAATAAATCACCCTGGTTTTAGCTCCATAACTTTTTATTTCAGTTGAGATCAAAGCTCGCATATGTCCATAAGTTAATTCTCCATTCAAGGGGTTTTTAACTTTTATAATATTACTGATAAACTCAATTCATGACTGAAGTTTAATTAAAAGATGTGTCATGATGAATTTGTTCTCTATGCATGTTTAATAATCCCCTCATTAAGAGGGAGAAAACTTCAAACAGGCAGTCTTATACAGCTTCCAGCCTTCTGAGTGCATTTGCAGGTCACTGCATCAGTGCACACAGTAGGACCAGTGTAAATAGAGCTTTCACACGGCATGTTATAAAGCAATGCTTTACTGCACTTGCTTACTTTATGAAAAAAAGAGAAATATTGTATAAATCTTGTTTTTTTACCAACCAAACAAAATTTAAAACGAGATAATAAAAAAATGCCTTACTTACAAACAGGAAAAAGTTTGTCTTTGTCTTAAAGCGCTTTAAATTTCTCCCAGATTTAAAATTCCAGAAGTAGAACCAACCAGAGTAGATTGAAAGCTGGTGTAAATGGAGAGGGTTTAAATCCATCCATCAGACATGATGAGCTCAGTCAGTTTGGGTCTCCTTTCAGCTTCACATCCAGGCTTCAGGACTGGGAGCTGCTGAATGTCAGTGGGTACCTGCTGAATTCCTCGGCTGTCTCAGTGCGCCGCAGGCTGGCTAGAATCGCCGCTCATTTTTTGCGCTTATATACAAATGTGCGCTTAGCAACGCAGAAGGGAGCGGACCACGCCTCTCTGCCCTCCTCACATTAATGCACACCGACTCACTCCTTCACACACCCACATGGCATGTCTCATCCTGATGTGCCATAACGCGTATACAGGTGATGCGTTCACTGGAAAAACGATCCAGAAAGTTCCTAAATTAAGGTATTTACCCTTAATTTGAGTAGGTAAATTAGTTTGCCAATGGAATTAGTATGTTAATGGGCGGATCTAGACAGGGGCAAACGGGGGCCAGTGCCCCTGCAGATCACGTCCTGGCCCCTGTACTGAAGACATAATACTAAAATTCTAATGATAATATGCGCTGGAACAGACATGGTTACTGATAGGTCCTTTGGATCTATTTCATTTTTCTTTCTTTGAAAATTATGTGTTACTTATTATTTAAAAACATAAGGTGATAGCTTCAGTGGAATTGAAATAGGATCCAGGTTTTCATCTGCTAAATGTTTTTCTGAACGAATACTCTAATTTTCACGGCTGAATTTATCAGTTTTTCTTGAGTTCTAATTCAGATTTTTTAGAAGACTGTAATTATGAATGTAAATTGACCTTATAATAATCCATAGAATTTTAAATAAACCTGATTGAATATATATTTCACTTCATGCAGCTTAATATATTTGAATCTCTTGCAGGGTTTCCGCAGGTCATTAAAAAACAATAAAAGTATTTAAATTATTATTTTTTGAACTAACGCCTTTCTTAGCATTAAAATTAATTAAATGTGATTATCTTGGCATTTAAAATGCTTTATTTAAAAAAAAAAAAATTTTATAAAAACAATCCCGTCAGATATTATATCAGATATAACTGGTTCCGTGTGTTTGCACGGAACTGCTTCCGGGAAGCCTCGGAAAAGAAGCCATAGGAGGAGAAGAGGCTGGAGAATGGGGAAAATTTTGCCGTGGTTATATATATAATGAGTAACTCTTATTTAACGCTTTTTAATGCCCTTTTAATGCATAATTATATATATATATATATATATATATATATATATATATATATATATATATATATATATATATATATATATATATATGACAGTCATGGGTACTTGTTGATGCTATTAAGATTATTTCTGAGAGCATTAAAATGGTATTAAAAAGCATTAAATAAGAGTTACTCATTCCTGTATAAACCCTGTAGAACCTGTTTTTTATTTCATGCTTTTCTGGGCCCCATGGACACACACAGGCCCCTTCCTGGCCCCCTGGTAAATTTTTGTCTAGAACGGCCACTGAGTATGTTTACTCTTAAAATAAGATAAATAGATAATATGCACTAGAAATAAAAGAATGCAATTGTGTTTTCTTATTTCAAGTGGAAGTTGTCTTGTTCCATTGGCAAAATTTCCCTTTTACCTCCTCAATCCAAGAACAAATACACTTATTTTAAGAAAAAACTACTTTTTTTGTTTGTGATTCTGCGTGCGTTGTTGTGTCAAAGACTTTACATTTAAAAAAATAAAAAAGGTTAAGACATGAAATTCATACCCTGAAAAAAATTATGCAACCATTTTAGGCATTTTCTTAATCATATTTAGTTACTTTAACACAGTTGTTTTATGTCATACCCTGCAGAGGCATAGCCTGAAAATTTTTATATGGGTGGCCAGGCAATAACCAATGTACTCAGTGTATCTGATAATGAGAATATGTTGATGTTCTTTGAGGAGTCGAAAGTGGATAGCCACCAGAAACTTAGGGTCAATCTATTCAGATTCAACAGGAAAAAGAATGACCACAACATCCATATTTTCCAAATAAAGACAAACTATACTTTCCTACAGCCTTTGCTAACAAATAGACGCATATATTTAAACATCCATCCAGATAAAAGGTATAGTGAATAAAATTCTTTCAGGTTAGAGTTCTGGGCCGAACATCTTTTCCATTGTCATTACTTACCTACTTTTATTAATGATCGTTCTGCATAAAATTGATATTTACAAGTACTAATATCTACAAAAAATGTTTATTTACTAAGTTTTTATTAGAATAGTAATTTATCTATGATTTAACATAAGACTCCTAGATGACTTGCATTTTCTCTCTACCCCATATAACACAAAATCTTGTTCTGAAAAGAGGGTAAATTCTGTACTTATCTTTTATGTAAGTATATTGATGTGCATAATTAAACACAGTGTTTTTGTTGTCAAGTAATTGTTAATCTATCAAAAATTTAAATGTTTTGAATATTGAGAGTATTACCGTAGTATCACTTGAGAGTATTACTGCTGCCACTGTCAGTATTATGGGGGGAAAATGGTAGGGGTGGCCAATGATTGGTTAAGAGTGGCCATGGCCACTCCTGGCCCCCCTCTAGCTCCGCCCCTGCTAACCTGCTAATATGAAACAATTGTTTTAAAGTAACTAAATATGATTAAGTAAATTTCTAAGAACGTTGCATTTTTTTTTTCAGTGTAGAAAAAAAGCTTTATCTTATGGTGCCATTTGTAAAGTTAGGCATCAAAAATGAGGAACAATATTTATGGTTATTTAGCGTGTTTTAAGAGAAAAATAATAAGGGGGTTATTTAGTTTGAAGCCTAATATTTAGATAAAAAAATATTAAAGAAATATAAAGAAATATTTCATTTGGAGCTAAATGTCTGACAAATTAAATAATTAATTTGCAACCAAAATATTTAGTTTGGAGCTAAATATTTATTTAACAAACTAAATATTTTGTTTGAAAATAAATATTTATTTAAAAACTAAATATTTAATTTGCAAACTACATATTTAGTTTGGAGATAAATATTTAACAAACAAAATATTTAGTTTGCAAACTATATATTTATTTAACAAAGTAAGATTTATATTAATGAACAAACGACATAGTGAAAAAATGACTTGGAAAAAAATAACCCCCTTACTTTTCTCTAACAACACCCTAAACAACCATAAATGTTGCTCCTAATTACTAACAGCTTAACTTAACAAACGGCACCCCATATTACCTCTCCACCAAATAACAATTAAGAAATTTTGCATTGGTTTAAGTTCACCTAACATTGAATTAATCTGTGAGAGGAGTATTCTTGTGTTCAGGGCCAAACATTTTTTTATGTTACTATGTGTGAGAACTACAGTTGGGAGGGTGACCACGATTTCCCTGAGAACACAAACCACAGCACTGATTTAGCTGACCCACACATATGTGTTTGTGGCCTTTAGTGCAGGTGAAAATGGGTGAACGTGCATATGTGTTGTTTTCCTCACCTTTCCTTTGAAATGTAGTTACATGCCTGAGGAGCTGTATTCTGTTGACTTTGAGTCATGTATTCTGCTCCACAACCCACAATATTTTTGCAAGATGAGAAGAAAGTAAGGAAGTAATGGTAGCATCATGTTGTGGGGATGCTTTTTAGCAGCACAGGAAGGCGATCAGAGTTAGGGATTTAAGCTAAATAGCCTATATGCAATTTTGAGAAAAATACAGGATACAGCAAATACTTCAGATTATATCTGAGTTCTCCATGGGAAAAGATTAAATCACACAAGTTAACTGCATTTACTACAGTCAAATTATGAAGGGACTCAGTGATTTTTCTTTATCATACCATTTCATATTTGTTTGTTTGTGGTAGGAAATTTGTAATCGGGTTACTAGATGAAGGTGAATTAAGTGAATCTCAAGTTCAGTTCTCTAACAGATGCAGGATAGAAACTGTTTCTGAACCTGTTGATCTTGCTCTGAATGCTCCTCAGCCGCCTGCCCGAGGGGAAAGACTGGAACTGTGTGCTAACTGTGTGGAGTCCTTCACGATGTGTAGCACCCTCCCCTTGCATCTTGATATGTAGAGGCCCGAGATGGAGGTAATGCATCTTCCTGCAGTCTTCTGTCTTCATTTTCACAAGCCTTTGCAAAGCCATCACCTCAGTAGCAATACAGGTACCATGCCACAAAATGTTGCACTTGCAGAGAACGTTCTCCACCAGGCTGAAGTGAAACATGCAGCCTTTTCGAAGCCTTTATTTCTGTTAATTATGATGAGTTTCTGATCACAGGGAGTGAAAAACATCAGAGTAATGAGAAAATATTTTAATACATAAATTTGGGCTTGATTAAGAGTGTGTTCAAAATTTGGTTAAAGGTATCAAAATAATTAATGACTTCGTAGCCACTCTTTTCTTGGAATTTGGCAGAAAAAAATGCAAATTAAATAAGTTTGTTCTGTGCCTACAA